AAAAGAGTTCAGCTTTACTCCTTCGACAGACAGAAATCCCACCTTCCATGGAATTTTGCCTTTGGAAAGAGCAAAAGGAAAGGAAGGGGGTTTAACTTTGCTCCTTCCAAAGAAAGAAATGAGGGATTTTACCTTTGGAAAGAGCAACAGGGAAACAAAGGAGGGGCAGCGAACCATGCTCCAAACCCTCTCCCAAACCACCACCACACATGCACAAACCCTAGCCTCCCCACCACACCCTGATACTTTCTTTTCTTCTCTCACTCCCTGCCATGCTGTCTGAGCTGAATGCTGAAAAAGCGCTCCAAGCACCTTCCCTCTCTGGATGGTCAGTTAATCAGAGTCTGAGGTTGGTGCTCCCCTTGCAAAACTTTCAGGCTCCCCAAGGGGGAATCCCATCATTTGAGAACCTAGGCTGTAGTCCTTTATCGGTTAAGACAATGACATATCCTTTTGTTTTTGCTTTTCTTTTTCTTTCTTTTAAATATTTTATTAACTAAAAATACACCAAACCAAGAAAAAGCAATATCCTTACCATTTTTACTGCAACATTAACAAAGTAAGAACATATGTCTTCCAATCAAAGCCTAAAATGCATCTTCAGCAAAGACTGGATGAGGAGTCATTTTTCTACATAGACAATAAATTAACACCTTGAGATCTGAGATTCTGATAACATTCTTGGCCACATCCTTTATCAACACAGTATCTTTTTTAAATTAGTTCAGCTCTTATGCCTAAAACAGTCAAACAAATTAGCTACTTGCAATATAATGTAATTTCAAGTCATACTCATTTCCAGACAAAATAAATACTCACTGTGTATGTCAACACCATGTCTTTTGGATGCCATTGTAAGAATATTTAGTAAAATTGCAAATGGGGTCTCACATTGTTTTTAAAAATTCCAAATCAGCAAGGCTTGCCATATAATTGCACAAGAGAACTTTAGCAGCAATTTAAAAATCACAAAATGAAAACTATTACAAATCCAATAGTGATTTCAGATTATTAGTTGGTGTGTTAGCTGACATTTTTCTAGATTTAGATAATGCCATCATTGGGGCCAGAGTGGTGTAGTGGTTTAAGTGCTAGACTACAACTCTGGAGACAGGTTCAAAGCCCTGCTCAGCCATGAAACCCCCTGAGTGACCTTGGGCAAGACACACTCTCGCAAATCTTGCCCAGAAAACCCTTTGACAGGTTCATCTTAGAGTTGCCACAAGTCAGAAATGACTTGAAAGTACACAACATTTTAATTATTTTCCTTAAACAAATTTTAATCATTAATCAACCGATCATGGTGCAGTGGCTGGAATGCTGATCTAGGACTCTTCGACATCCAAATCTGAACCTCCCCTCAACTACGGAAACCCACTGAATGAGCTTGGCCAAGTCACACAATCTCTGCCTGATTGGAAGGAAAAGGCAAACCCTCTCAGAACAAATCTTGCCAAGAAAATCCATGATAGGGTCACCTCTCAGGGTCACTATAAGTCTGAAGTGACTTGAAAACACACATCAAACACACAACATGCATTTCAACAATCACTGCTGCTTTAGAAAAACAATCACATCCCTTTTTTGTGTGTTCATATTCAACAATCTTTTCTAAACATTCAGAAAACACAGATAAGAAAGACTGAGACGTCCAGCACAAAGACTGCTGATCTTGCTGAAACCTGCTTAATGCAGCTGTAAAGAACACAGCAGTTTTGGACTTCTACTAAGACTATGGCATGGGAGCATGGTCAGAGAGAGGCACATGAAATCCAGGAGGGAAAATGCTGAGGCATAGTAAAAATTCCCAAGCTAAAATTTAGTCCTGCCTAAAGAATCATAAAATCATTTAAAAGTGCTATCCTTTGCAAACATCCATAGACTAAGGGTCCCTTTGCTAATCCCTACATACCCAGGCTTGGCTTGTTTAATGTCATTGCCATGGTGACACCCTTGAAATCTCATTTCACAGTCATTCGTGTGGTAGTAATTCAGGTTCATTCAATGGATTTTTATCAACGCTTGGAAGAAGACTGAATTCTAAGACCCATTTAATGTTTCATCTTAAAATTTGTTTAAGGAAAATAATTAAAATGTTATCAATATGAAAGATTTGAACTAAGAGCAAAAGAGAATCTTTTAATGATGAAAAAATTGGACCTTTCAAATCAAGTCCTATAATATTCTCTCTCTCACACCAAGGATACTATAGGACCAAGTATAAATTAATCCACTTACGTAAATATCTCCTGGTTTTAGACCAGATTTAAGGCTCTCTTATGTTGACTCAATATCCACAGTAGTAGGAAATAAAGATGCCAGAACCTGAGATACTAAGACAGGTGGGGGATATGGTGTTAAAACTGAAAAGATGTGGTATACCAAAGGATTTAGTATTTTCTTCTGACAAAACACCTCTTTGGTTCAGGATGTACTCTCCCAACACTATTTCACAATACAAAATGCTTAGTTCAATGTTTGTGAACTTAATTGTCTGTCTAACAATATTCTATGTAAGCCCCTGCTAACACTTTTCAAGCAGAAGGGGCACTGGCCTTAGAAACATACTGATACATAATTAAACAACCAAAAAACGGTTTTCATGGATACTATGTTTCAAGTTATTAGACCGACTGGTGTCATTTTTTAATAAATGTTGTGGTTAATAATGGCAGAATCCCTCTGCTCTGTCACCACTCCTGGTTTCCCTGAAATATCACCAGGTTCCCTATGGGAAAGCCAGACCCATAACCAGAAATAAAAATATCTGAAAATTGACTGTAACAGTGTGTGCCCACAGGACATCTGTAACACAGGAATAATGAGGGCCACTGAACCCAAATTTCTTCAGTTAGGGCAGAATTTCCTACAATCAACCTAATTTCACATCTAGCCATGCTCCATCTGAAAATGAGCAAAGACAATCATGATCCATGCATACATTTCCATTATTTTAGCTCTTTTATTATTTGCAGCTTATCTCTTGAATCTATATTTGTCTTGGCACAAGAGAAAATGGATTTGTGTTGGCTTAAAGATCAATTCTCCCCACATCCTTATTACTCAAATAGGAACGTGGGGAAAGTTGTCCTTCACACCAATACACAAGCTTAAGTGCCACAAGGACAAAAATCTCATTACTCATTGTTGCTCAGCCCAACCAAGAGTGAAGTTCTAATTTGAGACGATATGCTCCCATGATGGAAATTAGGCCACTGCTGTCAAACTACCATAATTCAAACTATTACAATGTGCCTAAAGCACAAAACAAGAACTAGGAATGTGTGCAGAGCCAGTAACTCAAGCATACAACCTCACCCACATGCTACACATCTAGTCACAAAACAGGTACATGCATCTTCAGAAGACAAGCTAGAAAAATGCAGCCATTTCATAGATGACATACACAAATAATCCTTAATTTTCTAAAAAGTCCTATTGTTTTCCATTACTAGTAAAAAGGCCCCTGTACTAGTAAACACAATATAGTCTGGGCTTTGAAAATAACTAGCCTACCCATCTGCATAATGAATTCCAATCCTAGGCCCAGCTATTTGGTCACATTGCCAGAGGCCCTTCCCTATCCACTCATTTACCAGTATTGTTGTTGTTAACCACCTTCAAGTTGATCTTGACTCATGTCCTTATCCTTCACTGTTCTGCTTAGATCCTGGAAATTCATGTGCCATAACCTCCCTAATAGAGTCCATCTATCTGGCATGCGGCCTTCCTTTCTTTGTACTTCCCTCCATCTTTCCTAGCATTATTGTTTTTTCCAGTGAGTCGTGCCTTCTTATGATGTGTCCGAAGTACAACAACCTCAGTTTTCTCATCTTGGCTTCCAGGGAAATTTCTGGCTTGATCTGCTCTAGGACCCATTTGTTTGTCTTTTTGGCTGTTCTAAGACCCATTTGTTTGGTTTTTTTGTCTTTTACCAATATGCTCCTTGCCAATGGACCTTTCATGACAGTAATCAGCAGAGTTGCCTTGTTCCTTTATGCATGGTCCTTACTTGGGAGGACAAGAAGGAACTGTACAGAATTCTCAAGTTCACTAAGAGAGAAATAGTATATTTATGTCATTTTAAAAAAGTAGTTACCAACCCAAGCAGCTTACAGTCTGGAATATAATTAGACTGCTGTTTCAGCACCAAATCCTAGAGAGATTTAATTCTCTATTGAACAAATGTGTAGTCAAGTCTCCCACAGGATTACATACACAAATCCCTTCTCCAATGACTGATCAATAGTCTGATCCAAAGGGCACAGTCATACCTAATACTTCAGAAGACAGAGGGGACAGAATGGTAATTGAATTCTCTAAATCTGAATGGAGCAGCAATCATTATCTGATTTTTCAGTTATTTTCTCTCATTTTCTACACTTCATTAACTCAAGTCAGGTATTTCAACCATTGATAGATAACCATCACATAAAAATTCAAACAATATGATCCCCCAGCAAATAAATGTTTAAGACAAGATACACCCACTTCTACACTAGAATGTATACACTAATTAGATCATTGTCACAAACCACATTATTATTCGGATCTTATCACCAAAGTACACAGGCATACATGTTTCAGGCATACACAAAACAGCAAAGACAAAGGAGCAGAATGTTAGGGAATTTACTCAACTGCTCTGGAATAATATTAGACACTGGACAAGGAAGATTATCTTTCCTAGGTTTTAATCAAGAAAAAAATTAATGCACTTTGTGCAGTTGTTTTTTATCAGCAGGTATCAGCAAGGTTCCTTTGCTGGCATCTATAAACAAAATAAAAGAAAATGTAGAAGTAAAGCTAAGGCAAGTCACACTCTCTCAGCCTGAAGATGGCAATGGCAAAGAAACCCCATAATAGGTTCACCTTAGGGTCTCCATAAATCAGAGACAACTTAAAGGCACACAGCAGCAAAGGTAAAAAGAGACAGAACGACTTAATGATGATTTCAGTTTGAAAAACATATTGAAAGTTGCACTTTCATACCCCGGTATAGATAGCATACACACCAGAAGACCAAGGCTGCAATCCGTAGCAAATTTTCTTTAAGTTCAACTGAAATCAACTGGGCTTAGTGCTAAGTAAAACTGTCCAGGGCCAGAAATCTCTACTCCATTCGGCACAGTGACCAGTCCACACATTTTTTCACAGAGGCCCAATTTATGGCCTTCCTGATATCACGGGACCACTGGCTAGGCTGGCTAGGATTGATGGGTGTTGAAGTGCAAAAACATCTAGAGGGACAAAAGTTACTAACTTCTGCTTTTAAATGAACTACTTGATGATGAATCCAGATTGTGTGTGTGTTGTCTATCAATTTATGGTGAACCCATCAATTTTAGAGGGTTTTCTTAGGCAAGGAATACTCAGAGGTGGTTTTGCCAGTTCCTTCCTCTGAAATATAGCTTACAGCACCTGGTATTCTCTGACAGTCTCCCATCCAAGTACTACCAAACACTACCCAGAACTCATCCTTCTTAGCTTTCAAGATAAGATGGTGCCTTTAGGGTATTTAGGCCTTGGAATCCAAATTGGTCCTCATCCAATTTTTCAAGCCATGTTTCCATCATAAGTGGCCATTGGATTCTCTGCTTTCTTCCCTTGCCTTATTGATGCTGCAATTCAATGCACTAAGGAATACATCTCACTCAATTCAGGTGGAGTAACCATGCAAACAAGCATAGCAACAACTCTTTCTTAGAAGACCTGTACTGGGTTATATGGTTAATCCTCATGGCTGCCTTCAGCTGTTTTATGATTGTCAGCATGTCTTTTTAATGGAGTTCTTTACATATTTAAAACTATTATTTATGGTCTATTATGACTTCACACACTGTGGCTTGTTATGTCTTTCCACACTGGAGGAAGATAATTTTCCCCAAAACAAACATTTCTCACAATTTATTAGAAAGGAAATAAAGTGCTGAAGCCCTGCTTCAAACAAATAATTGTCCATCATTCTAAGATTTCATCCAACATCATTCACACACAATCAAATTTCCCTCCCTGCATGCTAGATGTCTGTCTTAGAAAAAGATAGATGGAAACTAGGAGGTTTCAGGATGCTAAAGTCTGTACTTATTTACAAATTAAGTATTTGTACAGTGTGACTGCAGAATTGTGGAAAAT